GTTAAGAAGTCATTGTCACTTTTGGTCGCAGAAATCTTGTGAGACGAATACTAGACTTCTGATGTGAAGAATGTGTGGCAGTGGTTCGGTCGGAGTAGAACCGTTGCTGAAAGGCCAGGTGAGCAAAGTGATGGACATCCAGAACAAGTCTTGATGTGTCGTTGGATGTCTTGTCGCATCGTATTCCAGAAGTAACGGTACTGAAGGCTCTTTATTGTTGTGCAAATCCATGGATGTCCTGCTATGTCGTGAGCTCCAATGAGGGCTTGTGTGACGAGTTGAGGTAGAATGACAACAAAATTGCGTTTGAATTTGCGCATATTCTCAGCGTGTAGTCGAGTGACGAACTGATTTGATAAAACGGATGAAAAGTAACTTCTGGTTAAGTAATGGATGAGTCTCTGGAAGTTGTGGTGACTTCTCAAGAAGTGGCTAAAGTGTGTGAGCGCTTTGCTGCAAATTCTGTGGAAACGAGACGTTGGTTAAGAACAGCGTAGCTGTTGAATGACTTGTTGTCATCACAAAGCTTGGGGTGCAATCCGTCTGTAGTTAACGTCAAAGTATCGGGAACACCGTAATGAGCTTGAGAGTTTTTTCTTTTTTGAGAAATGAGTGTATTTGACGTGCAGATCTAACTATACGTGAAAATAATTGACTGTATGTTTGCCGCTTGTGAGACATTTTATTGTTTGTTAACAGATCAAGTCCTTTGAGTATGGTATGGTTGAGTTACTGTAACGGGACTGTAATTAGATTCAATGATCATGAGAGTTTTATGTTGCAGTTCTAGAGTGATAACAATGAAGTTCTTATTCAGGCGGCGCTTTCGAGTCGGTGAAAGGAGAAATATTGTGGAAACGACTTTAAGAACGGTTAACGCGTTCAGTCGTGACTTCTGTTTTGTTGGTTAGCATTGGGAACAGGTGTGAAAGGCGATGCTTAACTAGTGGCTATTGAAGGAGATTTTACGTGTTGTGGTATAGATGATAACTCTTAAGTGTCCGAGTGTTGGAAGTGAGCGGAGAATTCCCTATCTGAAATCATCGACAACTTGTGCTTGAATTCGTTGCACAATGTGATTGATTGTAAAGTCAAACGAGACTGCTCTAAAAATCCGCACGGAGGCACGAATCAGGTGCATGAAAATGCTTAGAGACTTGTCGATGCGGAGACGTTGGGCGGCGCGTAAGGGATTGATGTCTAGTGTCGATCTGAGATAAGATAACGCATATAGATGTAGAGAACCTATGCGGCCTAAAACAAGGATGACATCGCATGCTGTGGCTGCGGAGGATAACGACTAGTTAGTAATGCAGTGATTCTAAGACTGCTGTAGTGACGAATCGTTTATGATTTCTTAAGATTTCTTGTCTATCGGAAACCAAAGTGTTTTCAGAAGTCTTACGAGAAATACAATTAGAACAGTCTATGTGCCAATGATTGACGATTTTTCCAGTGTCTGCGCAGATATGGCAAGAGTAGGGGCTGTCATCGAAAGTTCTGTTTTTTTGGTAAACCGAGGGTTTTGAAAACTGATTGCGATTTTCTTGTTATAAGCCGTGAGACATTTTTTGGCTGCATGTGAGCGATTGGATGAGTGAGCGATTGAGCGAACGGATGAGCAATTGTGGTTAGTGTTTTGTAAAAGAAGGTTGAAGATTGCTTCAAGGTTTTGAGTATTTGTTAGCCATTTAGAGAGATAGGGATGTTTGCCTATGAAATGTTTGCGGTACTTCTCATGAAAAACTTCTGTGACAAGTGCGGTCATGTTTGTTTCGCTCAGACCGGTGACGCGGCGGAGGATACGAGTTTTCGCGTCAAAATACTGACAAACTGTTTCGTCAAGTTGAAGGTGGCGACAAACAGCATTGTTGGTTGTCTGTGTGCGCGTAGCACGATCAGTTTTTGGTTAACATCTTACCACGTGATATTTTTGATCATACGTATGTTTGTACCTAAGTAATCGGCAGCTACACTTTCGAGGTACTCCATTAGGCGATCAATTTTGAGGTCAGCGGAGAGGATACGGAAGGCTCTGTTGAAGAAGACGAAGAAGCACTCGATTGTAAAGTCAGAGTTCTTTTTGCCGCTAAACTTTGGGAGGCGTTAAGAAGTCCTTGTAGAGGATTGCTCGGAGACGGCGGTTTTAGTGAATTGAGAGCGACGAATCGTTGAATGATGAGGTGGTTGTCGTCGTGTTTTCGTCATTGTGTTAATGGGATTTCGGCGGAGATACAAATGGAAATCAGCCCACAAGAAAACAGGTATATTGTGATCTTACCAAGACTGCGCGACTTTGTTATGTTAATTGAAAGGGACAAGTATTTGCGCAGTTGCGACGCGGAGACAGCTATGAGAGTTATACGGCGGAGGACTTCTGCGGGCTAATAGTGTCCACTTGTTCTCAGTATAACAAAGAATAATGTTGATGAATGGGAGTAATGGCGAAATGAATGAGACGACGAGTGCGTGAATAAACTTTTTTATTGTGTATTAAACTTTACATGTCGTGTAGTGGATGGAGACTTAGGAGAGAATAGTGTACAATGTGTTTGATATGTGTGTTATAAGGGGTACAAAGCAGAGGTACTGTAAAAGTACCTGTCAGTGATTGGTTTGGGCTGTTGTTAAAAGGTGCAGATGTGTACGAATCAGGAAATAATGTGTATTAAGGTTACAAATGTAAGTGCAATAAGACTTGTGAAAATACAATGAGATTTAGAGGTCATATCCATGACAATATATTATTTTAATAACTTTTTATATAGCTAAAAAAATCATTTATTATCTTATAGGTTTACAATATTGTGCAATACAGGACACTTTTCTCAGCTCTGTTTTGAACAAACTTTAAACAACATTTTAATTAAATTTAGTAATGCATTACTATTACTTAACAATTATAAATTGCAACATATAATAAAAAAGCGCATATGTTTTTTATTTCAACTACATTGAAGCCATTTAACATACACAACAAAATGTAAGCATAAATTAATTATAAAATTTAAACTTTTATAAAAAATAACCCCTACTTTATTTTTAAATCCATTAGGGCGATTAAAATTATAATCGCCCTAGCTACACTGGTGGCGATTGTCAACTGCTACTATCCTTACGGTGAATACGAACACGGTGGCTATGGGCATCACCATCATGAGCACCCATATGGGCACCATCACCACCACCCCTATGGACACCATCATCACCATCACCATGGTCATTATGGCCACCACCATGGTCATCATGGCTACCACGGTCACCATGGTCATTATGGTCACCCCTACGGACCGCACAACTACGGGCTAACCTTTGGTGTGAAAGCCAACCACCAATCTACCCTGCACCACAGGGGCGGACTCGGCCACGACGGTGACCTTAGCTTTTTGGGCGACCATCACCATAAAGGTGACATCAGCCACGAGCTCCACAACCAGGAGGGTGGTGGCGTATCGTTTGGCTACGAGTCGCCCTACCATCGTGGTGACGGCCACTACAGGTTGCCCCACGAACGTGTCACGTTTGGTGGCCGCCATACGCACAGTATCAACCACAAACACGGCCTGCATTACGAGCATGGTCACGATTTTACCGCCCTCGGTCATGGCAAACATCGCGGCGACCTAGGTCATGATTTCAGTCTAGATCATAATCATGATGTGTCCGTGGGTTACGTGCCGTCCAATTATGGCCTGTCGTTTGGGATTAAAGGTCACAGTAAAACGGCGCTCAGCGGTGAGAATAAGTATGATGGCTTGTTTATCAAGCACCAGGGTAGGGGTGCCCTTGCCCACGATGGTGGCGTAGAAGTAGGCGGCGAAGCGGGCCGTTGAATGTGTAACTTGTTTTTGTAAATTTATTTAATAAAGCTTGTTGATTATTTGATTGTATTTATTGGCCATAATTTATTGTGTTCTTAAAAATACATTAAAATTATAATTTTATTTAATTTTTATTTATCGTAGTTTTATTTGATTTCTATTAAGTTTATGCATAATACTATTTTTAATTAATAAATACATCGTTATAGATGTTTACTATACCTATCAATAGTAATTGCAATTAAAATTCCGTATGGATTGACATATTCACTCCATTTTGATTTTGAGAACAACACAGACATGTAAGTTAAATAATGAATTAAATGATCTAGCTTTTTGCTAATAACTATTTTATTATAATAACAAATAGAAACATGAAAATATCAATCCTTTTGGTGCTAGTTGCTCTAGTGGCAATTGCACATGGCTATTATCCCTACGGGAGCTATGAACACGAACACGAACATGGTTATCCCGAGCACTACCATAGCCCATACGCTCATCATGGCCATCACCATCACCCATACGGACACCATGGCCATTATGGACACCACCATCACCATCATCCTTATGGTCACTATGGACATCATCACCCACACCATGGTCACCATCATGGTCATGGTCTAGCGAATTATGGCCTATCCTTCGGGGTGAAAGGACATAGTAAAACGGCGCTCAGCGGTGAACACAAATACGAGGGCCTATTGATCAATCACGAGGGCAGGGGTGCCGCCGCCCACGATGGGGGCTTTGAAGTAGGCGGTGCCGCCGGTGATAAATAATGGTGGTGATGGATTTTATTTAAATAATTTATTTAATTATGCTTATTTATTGTTTTAATGATTTTTGTTGTTGTTAAAATATTTATTGTTGCATGTTTAAATTTGTTAATTGTTTAAATAAATATTTGATATTTTACATTTTATTTTGTAATTCATTTATGTAATAATTTTATTAATTTATATTAATAAATTAAACATCAGTAAATATTTTTTATATTACATGCTTACTCTATCTGTTGGTAGTAAACGTTGATAAAAAAATGTCCATATGTTTTATTTTAGGGGCGCATTTTAATTGGACAATATTTACAACCCTATGTGAGGTAATTAAAAATGTAAGGTAAATTTATTTAAACAAAATAAACAATTATTTTCATTACAAAAAAAAATAATATTAATGTCAAAACACAACAGGGTCATCTCTATATCACTTACATTGGCCACACTGTGGACTCTAAGCAATGGCTATTATTGGCCAGAATACCAACCCTATGGGCACCATCAGCGCAATAATCACCCCGATCACAACAATCATCAAGCTCATTACCACGTACGGTCATTTTCAAACATGATGGCGCCTGATGATGATCAAATGCTGGAGGCCCAGTACGGTATGGCACTGGGTATTAAAGCCCGGACTAGATCGCGTAGTCGCGCCCGGCTAGACGTGGACCAACATCGAGACGAGCGTGGTAATTTAATTCACCAAACTGCCTTAAATCGGGACTACGAACGCGACACCCAGCTGGAACTGTCGCTGGAGTTTGATTTGCCCGAGTGGTACGTCAGGTACGCCAATGAGAAGTGGGGCCACCGGGGGTTGCGATGGTTACGGGAACATTTGAGCTTTGTCAAAAAACAACAACAACAAGGTGGCGGACCGCTTAGCACCCCACTAACACCGCCGCCCGAAAGCCAACTACCACCGGATCACCCGAATCGGGTCAAATGGTCAATGGGGCTGAACTCGCAGCGTAACTCATCTAGCCAGTACTTACTATCCGGTTCGCACGCCCTGGGCTGGCTTGGTAGTAAAGTGTTGCCGCAACGCTTGAAAAGTGCATGGGCCATCAATCGTGACAGGGACGCTGAGCTAGATCTTCAAATAGGTATTGGAGGTGATCGTGGACAATCGGAGCGTGATGGTGGTGGTCACCCAGTGCCAATACCCGACAATATCCCAGAACAACTAGCTGGCTCGCTTAACCACGATTCGCCACCTGTCAAAGTGGTTGGTGGTGAATTGAAACTCGACACAGAAGTTCCTAGCACTAACAAAGAGAGTGGTGCTAATGACAAACCCCCTCCCGGTGGCGGGTCTAATCTAGATCAACCTAAAGAGATGATGATTGGTGAATTAACCACTTCTGCACCCGTAATGCATATTCCAAAGGCAGATACCGCTGATTTAATAGTCTTGTCCGCTACTGATCTAGATCCTAAACTAGAAATATTAGAGACCACTACTACTGAACTTAATATAAATAAAACCATGACTGGTAGGGTTTATTAAAACGAGCAATATGCTAATTTATGTAGTTTTGTATCAATTATTTGGTAATTGTTGAGTATAAAGCATAAACTTGTTTAATTATATTATTATGTAAATAAAATGTTTGTTTAAATATGGTTATTTATATTATTTTAATTTTGTTTTTGGTATACTGTTTTTTATTTATTTAATTTAGTTATTTAATAAATGCTGTTACTAATTTTTGTTACAATATAAAAATTAAACAATCTATAATTAACATAAAACATTTATTGTTCAAAATGATAGTTAATAAATTTTTAATTCATAAAAACTATTACGTAAGATCACTTAATCCCAAAACAAAAGTTATAAAATGTTATTTGGATATAAATTCCCAATATTTTATAATAAATTACAGTTTTTAGTTAACTATAATTCAACTTAATTTAAACTTTTATACTAATTGTACTTTATACTTAGATTGTATTTAATAATTATAAATATATTAGTAGTAGTTTAAATTTGTTAAAAGACATTATTAAATTTTTATTAATACAAAATAATTAACTTTTAACCATAATTGTTATATATAAATTATAATAACCGATGTGTTATACTCTATCTATCGGTGATGGTAACATTTAAAATCCATATGTTTTTATCGCATAATTAAAAATAAATTATTTTAGTCAAAAGACATTACAATAAATAAATCATATTATTATGAAAAAAATGTAAGTACAATAACTATTTCAATAAATGTAAGTAAACATAAATTATTTATAACTTACCAGTTACACCGTGGTGCTAATCGCGCTGGGCACATTTGTGGCAATCGCCAGTGCGTACGACCCCTATTACCACGAACACGGTTATGGCCACCATTATGACCATCATTATAACCACCCTTATAGCCACCATTATGGTTACCACCCTTATGGTCATCATTATAACCCCGTGTACAACTACGCTAACCAAAATGATCCAGATCAGCCAAAAATTACATTCAACATAAAGACCAGTGGAGATCTTACCCCGGACCAGTTGGCGCAAATTGAGCAACTAAAACGGGAATACGAGCAAAGGACAAGCCAGGGTAATATAGGTTACAATCAGCAAGGTAACTTTCACAACGAACAGCATACTGGCCAAGAAGACCATCACGAAGAGCACCATCATCGTGAGCATCATCATAAAGAAAATCATCGCTGGCACCGTGAAAATCACTACTAAGCATGATGATTTATCAAGATTTCTCACTCCCCCTCCAAGTTATTTGTTGTTAATTAAATTTGTTAAGGCGTGATAAATTGTGCTAACTGTTAATTTTATTTATTAAGGCATTTTGATTAAAAGTTTTAAAATTACAATTTGCAGTTTTGTTCGGTTTTAATTAATTAAAATTAAAGTTTAAATGATAATGTTAAGTCTGTAGAGTAGTAAATCTAAGTCTATTGAACTTATATTAAATCTAGAAAAATTCTTAATCTATTCATTAAGAAATACCAGAGTTGTGTTTAACAAGAAACATTGCGGCGTAAACCTTGTTTACTTATTTTATAGTCAAAACTGTAACAATTGTTTAATTTGTTTACTCTATCTATCGCTAATAATTGAAATTAAAATCCCGTATGTTTTTCACATAAAGATCCCATTTTTTAAATCCAAAACATAATATACATAAAATATTCCATAAATGTAAGGTAAGTCTATTTATTTACAAATTACTATTCTAGATCATACTTATCAAACTTATTACAAATACAATAGGCAATTGAGTGCAACATTTTACCTGGTCACATTATGTGCCATAGCTAAGTGCCAATACTATGGGCCATACAATTACGGAGCCGATCTCGATGAATTTCCCGATGATTACCAGGATCAGCGGCGCTACCCCTACACTTTGAACTATTACCACGATCCATACTACGACCATGGGCGATTCAGATACCTGGAAGTGGGCGCCAAAGGGCACTATCAGGCAAAACACAGGCACGAACTCAGCGCCGGACACGACTCGGAAAACAAAGAGGGTCATCACAAAAATCACCTAGCGCTAGACCACCATCACGACCGAGATGCCGGGCTAGAGTTTACGTTCGGATTCAACGTTCCTAAATGGTTACAGCGAAAGCGCCAGGGTCCATTGGATGGTCCAGTAGAGCCTAGGTCAGCACAAGATCAAAGTGACCAGGGTGATGATGGCGTTCCTGGACCTGGTTACCATAAAGATCTACTGACCCTGGACACGTCGGGCACCAATGAAAATGGTCTATCTCACGAGTACTCCATGGGCTGGGCCAATAGGCTGGGTTATTGGCTGGGCATGCACCGTGGTTCTGGCAATCATCAGCATGGTCACCGATGGGGTCTGGGCGCCAGGTTGAGGTACGAGATAGACCCGGATGATCCCGATCATCGGCGATTAGTGCTGCGATTGGGCGCCCGTCATGGTCATACACATCACCACGATCTGGAAGGCGAGCATAACTCGCCAGCGTTGGCTGCCCTTGGTCAGACTAAATTTCAGCGCGAGATCAAACACGAACTCAGCGCTAATCGTGAATTTAATATTGGTTATAAGACGAGAAATTACTATGGTGATGATGATAATGATGATGGTTATTATGATGATTAATTATATGCTTATTTTATACGATTTTAAGTATTTTATGTAATTTTATTATGTAATAAAATGTTGTTATTTATTTTGCATGATTCTATTCGTGTGCTTTGAGTTTTGTTTATTTAAAACAACTTTACTTTGAAGTATACATAAAGTTGAATATATTTATATTTGCATATAATTCTACAATTTAATAAAGATTGTAAATATAAAGACATTATTATATTTAAAAAATTAATTTTTGTTAAATACTAATTAGTTATATAGTGTCTTTAAAAAATAACATAAAATATTAATTGCCATTAGGTTTGCAATACTGTAGAAGTAGAGATGGTAAACAAATAAATTGATTTTAATTGTGTTAATTTTATTATTTAATATAAGGTTGGTATTTTTTGTACTAAAAATTAATTAATATATAAATCTCAAAATGAAATTTTTCCTACAACAAATATAAATTATATATTAAATAGTATGCAAAATAAAAATTAATATAAATATACTGTATATTACATTTGCTTTATTGTAAATCAATTAATTTCAATTAAACCGGGCGATTCATTATTTACAAAATCCTTTTCTTATTTTTTTAATAATTTTTTTTGTAATTAAATCGCCCTTAATGTCAATACAATGGGTGTAATAATAATATTATTAATATAAATGTATTTTCTATATTACTCTACTAGGTAATAGAATCATAACGTAGACAAAGGCCAGTCAATGCAATAAGGGAACTATTAATATTTTTTATTTATCTTTGTATGTAATGTATAATTAGTAGGAAAATAATAAAATATTCCTATTTTACCTTTCTGTCTGCAGAGTCATTTTTATATGAATAATAGCTGATTGTTATAAGTCAATTAATTTTGTAAAGTCTAATATTAATGTCAATTATTCTTGAAGATTATTAAAGTTTTGTTATTTAAAATGTTGTCAAAAATAATGATTTAAATTTCATTTTTTAAATATTGTTATTAAAAATATTGTGTGGATTATTATACCAAGCTTATAATATATCATTTAATATACGACACAATTGCAGTTAAACTATCGTGATTATTTTTAAACGTAACATATACTTATAATTATGTACCCAATAATAAAATCATGTTTAATTAAACTTTATAATAACAAATATAACGTTTTTACAACACTGCTATGTTTGATGGGATGTGTGTATCAAACGTATGAAATAAGTTTATTATACTTTTCATACGAAACCACAAATACAATAAGGCTTGAATCGCCAGATGTAATTAAAATACCCGCAATCACAATATGCGGCCGTATTAGTGGCTTAATACACGCCAATATACAACAAGAGTATATTACCGATAATGGCATGTTTAATTATAAAAAGTTTATCAATCAAGCAATCGGTGAACAGTTTGATGCGCTCATAGCGCCTGACAAACTATTTAGTTGTCGATACCAAAATTTGAAAGCATGGTTAAATTGCTCACAAGTAACACCATATAAGATATCTCTAAATGGCTATCATGCTTGTTGGACCACATTCTCTCAATGGTCCGGCGAGCACGAGCGCAGGTACATTTTAAACACTACTCGCGCACCTATGCCAACGCTTTTTGGCATTCGCATACACAATAAATCCATGCTTACTAGTCGACTTCTCTACGTTAAATTACACTCCCGGTCTAATAAGATTAGGGATTATTTTGACAAAAATATAATCACCATTGACATGCGTAATAACAACCGATTTTACATTAAGTATAGAAAAATCACCATGTTATACAAGTTATTAAGAAATAATAAATGTTTTATAAATAAATATCGGGATGATTGTATAATACGTGAAATTAAACAAAAATATTCTGTATTTCCGGACAAATACTTCACATACAGAGATGACTATACAAACATCTATGTAGCGTATTTAAAAACTGTCAATGATACACGTATTGAACATCAATGTGAATTAGAATGTATTGATAAGACTGAGGGTGAAGAACATTACTATTCAGTTAATTATCAATCGGATAACATTCCCAATAGCAATCACAAATTTTATGAGGTGTATGTAATGTTGCCGACAGAACTCGAAACAGTATACGAGATTTCACTAAAAATGTCGACCGAAGAATACCGAGACCGGCACTGGAAGTACTTAGGAATTGCTTGCAATACACGCTTTATTTTGAAATACAGTTAACACTCAGTATATAATTAATACGTTTTTCTTACATAAAATCTTAAATTAATTAACTGTAAAATTGTTATAAATATTTGATTATATGTGCAATGTTTTACTCATAACGTAAAAACTTGTTTAACAAAATCTATTATGTAAGACGACTAATTAATTGTATACTGAGAGTTAACTGTACTTCAAAATAGAGCGTGTATTGCAAGCAATTTCTAAGTACTTCCAGTGCCGGTCTCGGTACTTATTATTTATGGGTTCGTTATTTAGTTTATGGTTTGGGTTTAATGTATTACTTGGAACTAATGTCTTGTCACAAATCTATATAAAAATTACCTTTTTAATCGCACCATGCTACAACACACATGTCAATAATATTGCTATCATACCAATGCAGCAAATAATTAATAATTATCCACAAAATGTTCGCCGCAGAGACACACATAATTCACAAGTTTGGCATCATTAAATTAAATAAATACAAAATAAATTCACTTTATATTAAAGAGTGCAGAGTTCTTAGAAATCAACCAAATGGATTTTTTAAAATTGTTAATATCGTACTCTCTCTCTCTCTCTCTCTCTCCTTCTCTCTTTCACTCACTCACTCTCTATATGGAGATAAGATATACCTTTCAATGCAATAAACTTACACATTTAATATATTTTTTATATATAATAGATACATTAATTGTTTAATATAATATTTATTCAATCAATTGAATATTTTAGTATTTGTTTTACAGAAGTATTCAACATACAATATACTAAAGAATTATTTACTTCAAAAATTATTTAACTCATTAAATCATTATAACTTGTAAATGTGTGCAAAATAGAATTCAATAAAATTACCAAAATACTATAAATTTATAACAATTATAATATACCCTAAGATCCAATGAACGCACTTAGCAATTGCCTGCAATACACGCGTTATTTTAAAGTACAGTAAACGCTCAGTATATATTTAATAAATAATATTTGGTAAAACAATTGTTTACTTTATGATTTAAAAATATAACAAACAAAAAACATTAAACACAATCGTAAATTTTCTTACAACTAATAAACATTACACTCCATGTGAAACCCCTTATTAATTATTTACTGAGGGTTAACTGTACTATAAAATAACGCGTGTATTGCAGGCAATTGCTAAGTGCGTTCATTGGATCTCAGGGTATATTTAATAAAGTTTAAAATTTAAATGAACATTAAAGGAATTTCAAAAGGAAAGCATTTTTGAAGGTATTATCTAATTGTTATATTTTTTATATGAGAAAAATGACAGCGAAAAGTACAAATTCAATTCAAATTGTACAACCAATGTCAATTTACCTTAATATGTATTATAATGATAATAATAAATAATTTTCTAAATGAAAATTAAATTAAAAAAATTTTCACCAAAATTTTGGTATTTGGTATAATAACACTCGCCCAAGTTTCTTTATTAAACTTTTCATATAGGGGTATTTATAAATTTAATTAATAAACCCATATGTTAACAAAATAAGTCACCATTTATTATCAAAAATCATTTTTGCAAAATCACACATCTCGTATTGATATAACACATCAATATAATAATAAAAGTGATAGCAATAATAATTTATTATGGTAATACCAATTCTAATACTATTTACCCACAACATAGATTTTACACTATAAATATGATGATCGTTTATGTGTGCGTTTTGATGTTGGCAATCACACTCACACCTCATGGGGACAACTGTATCAACGCATTCCCGATGGCCTACCCTATGACCGGACGCACTGCTGGATCGTACGGCTACTATCGTGGGGAACGAAATGCAAAATGTGGTGACGAGGATCACCCCGATGACTCGGCTGGGCCAATAACATTTGATAAATGATAAATTTATTTTTGCATTAACTATATAATTTACTACTATTGTATAATCTAGCTCCATCTCTAGAGTTATACCACAGTATTAATATTATTATCTAGATATGTTACTATTTAAATAAATATCAATTATTGTTCAATAACCAGAGAGTTGTTTTTACTTATTTTACAAGTATTTTGTGGTAAGATATATCGAACTCTAACTCAATGATCAATCCGAATTATATAATAATAACTATTATTATATAATAATATTTAACCATTCTTATCACTAAAATTATTATTAGTTCAAATAGAAAAATATCAGAGTAAAAATATTAATTTCTACAATAGATATTTACGAGTAAATCTGAATATTTATAGTGAAATACAATGAGATAAAACTGCATAAGAAAACAAAATATAACGCTATCGGAAGTAAACACTGCACTAACTTTAAAAAACAAAAACTATCTGAATTGAATATAATCAAAATTAATTTTATTAAAACTTGATTATAAACTTTATATTAAATGATATATTGAGTCAATCCAAATATCAAATGAAAGTTTAGGACAATATTTAGCCAGATGTTTGGGGACACTCGCGGCCGTACTGTTGACAAATTTAACTTGGGCGTCAATGAATAACTCCGCTATTACTCAAATGAGTTAAGTGATTATTGTATTAAAATAAAACTTTATATATGCTTAGCAAATTTATACCTGTTTATGTTAAAAAAAATTTTACAGATCAAATTTTAATTGCATAGATTTGTGCCCAAGTTAATGTTGACAACATTGCGCCTACGAGTATCGACAAATGTCGTAAGTTTGCTGGATAAGTCTGTTTATTTATAAAATATCATTATCGATCATACTTATTAAACTAATTACAAATACAATAGGCAATTGAGTGCAACATTTTACCTTGTCACATTTAATTGCAACAGATATGCGATAAATTCCGTCTAACATAATCTTTAGTCACAACCAAAACGTTTAATTTAAAATTTTTTAATTTATTTATGAGTCACAATTGTTAGTAACTAAATTCTCGTAAAAAACTACTCGGTAAATCATTTAAAAATTTTTAGTTTATAATAATAATATTTAGTTTATGTGTGTTAAAAACAATAAAACTAAATTTTTTTAATACAATATATTTACTTTTAACTACTGGCATACAAAATTACAAGTATAGTATAAATTATAAATTATCAGTTTCTTTTATAATGTTTAAAAATTTGGTATTTGTTATCATATCACTATTGGCACTGTTTGACCCTGATAAATCGCGGAGTTCCTCCACATCGGTAATATTATCCGGTATATCCTTATCCTTAGTCTCGGGTAGAAATAATGTGAGTAGAGTTGCCATCAGCGCAAGCAAACCAAACACCATCATCGATATGACAAAGTTATAGTGTTCACTCTGGATGGAAAATTTAAAACATTAATTTAATTTGTTATAGTCATAGAAATATGCAAGTTAATTAACAAAATCAGTTATAATATAAAATCAATTAAATATTTTAAATAAAAACTCATACAATAAAATAGAAAGTTGTAAATATTTACATAAAAATATAAAGAATAATAAAATTACAAAAATATATAATTACAAAAATATATAATTAAAATTAATTGTTATATAGAAATAATAAACACCAACTTGCGCAACTAACCGTTTCCCTAACAAACGGTGCCAGTATTGAGCCAATACGGGCTGCGATACTACAGCTACCGATACCCGTATGCCTTAAAACGGTGGGAAATATTTCACCGGCGTGGATATAAATCACATTAAACGAGCTAAAAATAAATAGTTTGCCAAACATTGCCATGATCAATTTTACCGTATCATAATGTACACCCATTGATCCCCTATAAGCGCTGCAAAGTACAATGACCAGGTACGACAGGGATGCCATAGCCATTGTGGCCAAGGTGAATGTTTTGCGACCAACGTATTTTAAGCCAACGATGTTTAATATGAGCGAGGGTATTTCCACCAAACCAGCTATGGCAAAGTTTAGGTACAAATTACCCCCGATTTGCTGTACGTTTAGTGATATTCCGTGATATATGAATGCGTTTACAGCAAATGAAAACCAGAATATGAGTGTATAGTTTCACATCACTTTCGATGATAACAGGTCTATGATTGTGTAGTGTTTGCGCTTTTTGACCTTGTTTTGGGTTTATGTTAATAAAGTGTCACCAACTATTTAAATATACAAAATTAATTTATAAAGTGGTAGAATTTATAAAGTTATAAATAGATAATTTGAGGTTTTATAACAACCTTGTGTGGTGTTTGCGCTTTTTGTTCTTGTTTTGAGTCTAAAATTTTATTTAATAAAATTATAATTGTTAGTTTTACATTTTAATTGTTTTTAAGTTAATTTATAATGTTAAAATAATTTAGAATAAAATTAATTAATAAAAGAATTAGAGGTGTGACCATCTATTAAAATATACAAAATTAATTTATAATAAGTATAAATTTTTATAATATATTTACAGTTTGAATATTTTAAAAATATATTAATTTATCGCGATTTTTTATTTGTACCAGTCTGAACTTTTGGGTTATCTTTTATCATATTATAATAATTATAATTACAAATATTGTAATAGATAATTTGAGTATTTATTACAAAAATAACCTTTAATTATCGTAATCTAAGTCCGGAATTGTTTGGACACCATACATAAAAACAAACTTGGTAATGTATACACATTATATTTATTTCAAAACTATTATACAGTTTATAATAAAAATTATTATTAATGATTTTAATATCTTGTTTTAAATGCGTTATAAATTTTTTATTATAATTATTCATAATACACAAAATCACACTTACCTCTTCAGTATCATGTCGCAATTGATCTAGTTGATGATTAATATAATCCACACTAATAACACGTCCATTTAATTTAGCCGCTTTTATGATAGTCATTCTAGCTTTCTCGTGTTGGTTATTAGATAACTGCCACCTTGGTGACTCGGGTATTGTCAACAACCATGTGCACATAAGTACAAATGTCATTGTTGTGGGTATAGCCTGTAGTAACTGATAGTCCTTCAATAGACAGGCAGCACCGGGTAGAGCGATATACCCAGTAATCCAACCAAAAGTGACTGTCATTACAATATCCGACCGGTATTTGGTCCCAACCTTTATATAATATAATAATTAAAATTTAATAACAATATACATTTCAAATATATACATTTGTATATATTTCAAAAATATAAGGAGTCGGTCAAATAATCTGTTCGATCGTAGAACTCGCATATCTCTTAAACTATAAGAGGTAATTAGATTCTGTAAAAAGCATATAATAGGGCCATATCCGCGATCACTTCTCCATACCTCATTTGTAGAATTTGGTCACGTGGTATACTAAATATAGGGCAATTCCAAACACCCTAGTTATTTGTTAAAATATAAGATATATAGAGATAGTTCCAATACAAAATTTGTTTAGCATAAACGTAGGTATAACATAAAAAAGAATTACTAAAATTGGACAAGTACTTTAGTTTTTATGGCATAAAGAATTTGAGTATATTCTAATGTAATCCTATGGGTTAATGTTTAGTCTATGACAAGTCAAATATATGAAGTAAATCAAGTCTGTGGCAATCCTAATACTATGGGCTTATGTTGTACCTAAGAAAATGTTACGGCTATGGGTAGTAGTAATTAATCAATTATTTGACGTTTTAATGGTCAAAATATTTAATGTTCTCAAAACAATTTCAATTTTTTATCGATTTTCACTCAAAATTATGACATTTCAAGTTGTAAAATCTGAACTACTTGGCCGATTTCAGTAATTCTTTTTCTATATTGTACAAGTTTTAGTTCTTCACAAATTTTGCATTGGGACCATCTCTATATCTCTTATATTTTAACAAATAACTAGGGTGTTTGGAATTGCCCTATATTTAGTATACCACGTGACCAAATTCTACAAATAAGGTATGGAGAAGTGATCGCGTATATGGCCCTATTATATGCTTTTTACAGAATCTAATTACGTCTTATAGTTTAAGAGATATGCGAGTTCTACGATCGAACAGATTATTGACCGCCTCCTTATATAAATTCAAATATCACATTTGGTTTAATTAATTAAATGTCATTTAATATAAGACTATAAACTATTTAAAATAAGTTATTATATAATAGACAAGATATAAATGGTGAAAAACTATTTGTTTTTACCCTAATACAGTGCAACCTCTCTTGGGGAAACTTCTCTTGGGGAAACACCTCTTCATAAGAAAGGGTTTTGAAATCTTTTTTGGATTTCCTATACTTATAATGTTAAAATGATATCTCTTAGGGAAACTTCTTTTGGGGAAACACCTCCCCATAAGAAACGGATTTATAGAGATTGAGATAAAACTTCCACTCCCGATAAGAAACAAATATAATCATTAGCACACGATATGTAAAGTATTCAAAATATTTTCAAACCTAAGACTTTAAACAAACAAAAGACACATTTTCATTTAAAGTTTCGTTAAATACTGTAAGAGTTGTGATAAGCATTGATCAAATGTTTGAACAATTGGACAAAATTAAGACTAAAGCATTTAATTGTCATTTGAATACAACTAAATAAACTAAAATTACTGATTATTTTCAATAATTGCTATTATTAATGTAATCTTTCAAAAATTAATTAAAAATTAGACATTTTTACTCGAACCTCCCTTGAAGAAACCCTCTCTAAGAGATATCATTTTAACATTATAAGTATAGGAAATCCAAAAAAGATTTCAAAACCCTTTCTTATGAAGAGGTGTTTCCCCAAGAGAAGTTTCCCCAAGAGAGGTTGCACTGTATACGGTTTATAAACTAATAGTAAAGTTATACAGTTGTAGTAAACTAATAGTAACTTTACATACGGTTTCCAGTATTAACAAGTAGAGACTGACACCACGACCACTATCACCAAGGCCAATGAAAAATCGGCTCATTATATACATGGTGATTGTCGGTGAAAATATGAGGGACAATCCACCGCACACCTCTATAATCATAGCCAGCCATAGGGTAGGCCGCCGGCCAAACCGGTCCGACATATAGCCCAACAGCAGACCGTTCATTACGTAACCCATTTGGTACATAGATTGCGATAGGGATGGTAGCCATGATTTATCGCACACTAAATCAAACTAGGTAAATTAATGTTTAATGTAGTTATATTATTGTTTTAATTATAAATAATTATAATAGTAATTTTTTGCTATACTTCAGAAACAATTGTTTTGCCATAACGTTGATCATAAGTCCAATTGTGACAACTTTGACAGTGGCTTAGGTTACGGGCGATGGCGGGCACGTGTTTAGAGTTGCCAGATTAATTTCAACCAAAACTGGATTCTCATTAGGATATCAACTTCAAAACTGGACAAAAACTGGACATAATAATTTTGTTGTGTTTTTATATAGAATATTTATAAGGCATACATATTTTACTAAATAATGTGGCCCCAATTGTGTTGTAGTTATATACACCATACCATATATAGATCATATAAACACATGAATAATGTAAATTGGAACAAAATATTCATATTTTGGCAAAATGTTTCATAACTGGACACAATGTCCAGTTGTACCCATGCACTGGAAACTGGACAAGATCATCCAAAACTGGACAATCCAGTCCAAAACTGGACGTCTGGCAACCCTACACGGGTTGTCCAATAAATGAGCACTGTAAAATTAAATATAGACAATCTAATAAATATCGTACTGTGATGTCAAGCCAGTAATAATGCAAACATCTTACTTATTTTTATAATAATTTTTATATTTATTATAATATACAGTTAATTAATATAATAAAACATGATTATATTGGTATAATCGATAAGTCTTAGATTTCGTATAGATTTAATAGTGGTATCTTAACCGAATTAATTTTATAATTTAAGGTAACATTCCTAGGCACCAGAAACCAAGTTTCATCAATATCGGATGATTAGTCTTTATACGGGAAATTTTTAAACCAAGTCAGTCGGAATTATTTTTAAAAATTTAGCTCAAAATATTTTACCAAAAAATAACTTATTTTGAAAGTAAAAATATTTTTGTAAAAGACATGTTTGGAGTTAGTATTTAGTTATTGGGATTCACTATTCGACAATAAATTAGAGCAGTAATCATGACATCAGTTATAACGGGAATCAAATGCGAACCGACCTAACACAGGCCGCCGATCGGGTCGACTACCAATAATTAAGTGGCCACAGTTAGGGCATCGGTCAGAGTTGGCCATTAAATATGATATGATTTTATACATTAGATATTCACGATATTGGAAGAGTAGGGGTATTTTATTATCTCTATTATTGTTTGAGTATGGTCAATTTACATGCGATTTCAAGCGTCGGTAATTACAAAAACAGACCCTATCCTATAGGAATACATTATTCTGCCTGACTTCGGTTAAAACTTTCCCGTATAAAGACTAATCATCCGATATTGATGAAACTTGGTTTCTGGTGCCTAGGAATGTTACCTCAAATTAAAAAATTAATTTGGTTAAGATACCTCTATTAAATCTATACGAAATCTAAGACTTATCGATTATGCCAATATTTACATTAATACTAGGTGTTGATTGCAAATCAACAACATTATCGGCGCACCGGTAGCTAAGTTTTGGGGCGTGAAAAATGATGCCAAAATTGTTGAAAGGTGACAGTATGTAGATGGTAAAATAGAAAGCAGCTATGTTAAGTTGGAATTTGCCAAACGAGCCTATTATGTCTGATACGTGTTTGACCATCATAAGTAAGATTAATTTTTACACAATTTAAAATAATTATTTAATTTTTTTGCGCACAACAGAACTGATGCTGAAAACTGAGTTATAATATGGTTTATGTCAAACGCACATAGACCAATCAATTAAATAATTTTTATATTATTTACATGGTGTTAATTCACAACTTAAATATACGCTTATTTCTAATATAAAACATATGTTTGCTTTTCAAACAACTGATAAAATACAAAATACTCGAACCTAAGCTATACATACTGTACAACAGGCCATATAATCATCAATTAGTACACATCCTGTACATTATTGATTACTTTAGTTCGTATTCTTTATATCAACTAAATTACATGATTAAATTAAAAATAACAATCTTTGTTATCATTACAATATTCATTACAAATGCGAAAATAATGTTGTAGCCAATATTGCTAAACTAGTGATGGCGAGATAGAGGTGTTTACAGGAATTTAAGGGTGGTAACGATACAATACAAAAATGATTCAACACAGATATGCATCAAATTAATACTTTAATCAAAAATTTTATAATTAAATTTAATCGTTGCTAATATTTACCATCAAATATCTCATATATACCACGCTTTACAACAGTTTTGAGACACTTTCACAACGAAATCGGTCTTCAAATGTGAGGAAAGATAACAATTTTTTCACAATTTATCACTAAATTTATCGAATAAGTCTTAAAAATAGTTTTGAGACATAAAAACACACAAAATAATGATTGAAACAAACAATTAATATCACAATTAAATCAATACTCAACCAAAACATGTGTTTGTCTTTCAATATAAGGAGACAAAACAACTCACAAACAGCGATGCTATACGTTAACCACTATTTGAGAAATGCATCAAAGATTTAAAATTTTTCAATATTACTGTTAGAATACTTTCACTTTTATTGTTTTGAGAATTTTAAATGTTTTTGACAACAATTGGTTCTATTTATTATGGCAAATTCATTGATAATCCCATTGTCCCATTGATATACCATTATTCATGTTATTCCTATGCCATAGACTTAGCATTACCCATGTTATTACCCTAAAAACCCATAGATAAGCCCACCCATGTATAAGCCGAATCATAAAATATCAATAGTAAAATGTTCCCATAGATAAGCCGGTACCTATGTATAAGCCGAATTTAATATAACGTAAGTTTTGGAACGTAATTTTTGGGACATATTGGTTTACGTTATGAGTATTATTAGTCATTGACTAGTCGTCTAATTCAGTGTCTGTTTTAATTGAGATTGTAATTGTGATATAATGGCTAAAACACGCAATAAGTATTGCTGAAGAAGCTTCTGATTCTGATGAATCTATCATGGAAACAGATTCAGATAATTTGTAGCATTTGTTTGAAAATTTCACAGTGGAATCTGATGAAGAATTTGATGGCTTTGTTTAAATGCATAACATTATTTTGTAATTAAACAATTTTAATAAATATGATAAGTTGAATTTAAAATTAAAATTGTTTTTGATTAACATATTTTATGAATAAATAAGCCGAACCCATAGATAAGCCGATTCTTTAATTTTTTCATAAAATACACTTTTTTCATTAGATAAGCCGCGGCGTATCTATGGGTTTTTAGGGTAAATAAAATTAAAAATTAGCAATTAATTCATGGCAATCAGCAAACAGTATATAAATAACAAGGAAATGGCAAACACTATGTTATTTGTCAGTGCATTCATAGTATTGAATATTGCAAATATCAAAACCAAAAAAGTTGACATTTCATTAAAAAACCAAAACTTAAGCAAAGAAATAAGCAAATGATGAGATTTGATGCCTTATTATTGAATACGCTATCGATTGTAACGCATTTCGGTTTAGTTGGCACTCAATATAACCGATGCAAAGACATCCCCTATAGTCAAGGGATGAGTGATTTGCTAAACTTCGGGTGTAAACTGGTTCGCGGCGTTTTGACACTTAAATTCAAGAATATATGCGAAGGTCTGCCCTGTCCTGGACTCGGAGCCAACACTGTATGTATGCCTTTTGTGTACAAATTACCGTATTTTTATTACTACTGTTTTTGCTTTTTAATTATAATACCGATTAACATGTAATTTAATACTGTGTTTGTAGTGATTAATGAATTTTACATAAATACTTATTTCGTGCATGTTTATTAGTTTGAGTCAATTAAGTGTAATTAAAAACTTTTGTTTTGTAATTAAGTCTCGAAACGGAAATGAATTAATTATAACTTATAACACAAATTATAATGTATTCAATACTAACGAGTTATTAACCGTCAGATCTGCGCAAACGGTAAATGCATCGACAGGTCGGGCGGCGGTGGGGGTCGTGCCAGGGCTCGAGTGCCATCGGGAGGGGGACGACCGGCATTGTCATCAGCGGACACACCTGTGCGAAGACCACCGCCGCCGAGGCCTACACCTCGTCGACGACCGGCAAAGGGCGCCGGGAGGCTCGACGTGACCATTATATCTGCCTCATTGGCCAATACGGACACAATCATTAACAGCGCGGCCGACGCTTACGTCGTGTTGTGTACGACTTCGGGCGACAAACGCGAGGACACGTCTCAACGGCTGTCAGATCGGGACAACTGTTACTGTCGGACGCGTAAACTGGAAGACAATAACGAGCCGTATTGGGAGCACGAGTGCGAACCCCTGGATGTGAACCGATTCAATCACAGCTCAACTGTCCTAACGTTTGAGGCCTACGATAACGAAGTGATAGCCGACGACGAGTTCATCGCCGCCAACGATATCACCGTTAAGGATGTGATCGACGGCGGAAACAATGGTAAACCTTTTGATTTGGAGCTCTTCGGCCCCTATTCCGGATCTATTACTCTTAATATCACGTGGACTGCCGTTAAGTGATCACCGATTTTGTGAATTATGTTTGTTATTCTTGTTATTAGAAAAGTTTGATACTTTATTTATACAAATACTAATTGAATGCTTTGTAAATTATAATTTTAATTAAAAATTAATTTTAAAAAATACAGTGTATAGTATATTTGTTTTAATAATATAGTATTAAATACATTTTAAAAGAGATGGTTACAAATGAATGCAAGGGATTACAAGTCCAATGTGGTAGCAATTTATATATAGGATTACAAAGACATTTGTTATACAATAGGACTTAAAAATAAATCACTTTCTTTCTTATTTTAGTCGTAAACTAATAATTAAATATGTGTTGAATATATAGTTATATAACACACAAAACCGTCTGTAAATAAATCCAAAGAGTCTGTAATTTAAGTGTATAATTGTGTTTAGAAAACGTAAATAAGTTTTAAAGAAAGT